ATCTCTATATCGGACACCACACCCCCAACTAGCCCACCCCTTGCGAGTGTCGGACCTTGCACCCTAATTAGTCAGTTTTCAGGGCCTTGCACCCTACCGAAGGATATTCGAACTGCTTCTATACTTCAACACCTTGAACTAAAGAAACTCGGGTGTCCATATCGTTTCCCGAGCATCAAAGAAGGCTAATCTTATTTCGTCCTAAATATTTTCGTTTCTACATTTTATTATGCTTTATAGATGTTTCCACTTGTAGTTTTATTTAAGAGTAATTAGAGTTTATTGAGAACCTCACTAGCCTTTACAATTCCTCTAAAATTATAACCCAAAACAACTACTTGGTATCGATACTGGCCATACAGTATCGATACTACCTATCGGGTATCGATACCCTTTCTAAGGTATCGATACTCCCTTACAAAATTCCCTTGTTTTATAAATGGAAGTATCGTTACTTATACGGGAGTATTGATACTTGAACCCTGGGAGTACCGATACCAAAATTGCATTCTTGAATTTGAGTTTCGATACCAAGCACACCGATTTCGACATGTAGATTTCATAATCTAGGCTTGAAACATGAACAGTCTCAGTACTGATCCCTCCAGTATCAGTACTGATCCCTCCAGCACCAATACCTCTACTCGAAAATGTCTTATTTGTGCATTTGAACAGACTCACAATGCTACCTAGAGGTTCCCAATTGTTCTTAGTGTCTTATTTATTCAAGTAGGAGCATACATAAGGCTTTAACATGCTTATAAATTCAAAACATAGAATCTACCATTGATATGCTTAATAAGTTTATTTCTTATCTTCATGCTATTTAATACATTCTAATGACCCACTAAAAAGTATGAAGAAGTCGTAAGTATAGGTACCTTGTGTTCTTCACTAAATGCGAAGCCCCAATTCACTCTAATGTATCTTTCTCTTTTCCCTTAGCCTTTGAACCTTCACTTTCCTCCTTCACTATTCAAATGATAAGAAAAAAGAATTTCTAAATTAACTGTGTGATGAGAATAAAGGTTAAAATACTTCTACATTTTGAGTATCATAAACTACTTAAAATCCTTAGATTCCATTTAACCGCCCGAAAACCCATTTTCGAAATTAAAAGGAAACCATGAGAAATGGGGCTCAAATTAAAGTTTGGATGACAAGGATTCATAATCTTACCTTGGTTTAACGAAGTGCATGCTTGAACTTGGCTCTTAAAAGGAGAGGAAATGGAAAATGCTAGAAGAAAGGAGAAGAGTGGGTGAGGGTTTTTTATGGGTATTTGGTTCACGTGAATATGATTTAAACTAAGTGGTTTCCGGCCCCCAAAATAAAATTGGGCAATCTACACTTTAAGTCCTTTCATTTTCTTATTCATAAAATTTTCATCACTCCTCACTATTCTTTTGGGCCCACCTCAACCCAATTCCACTTAACCTTCTAAGATATTCTTAATAAATATTTTAGTCTCTAAAACAGATATCGGATTAACCTAAACTACTGACCCGGATTTCAGGACGTTACAACAATACTTATAAACGTCTTTGATTGTCTGCTCAATTCACCGTAGAGATTAACCAACCATCGAATCAATTCAAACACACTAAAATTCAGTCAACACGCCCAAACTAGGGTAACTATTATTACTACTAAAGGGTGTGTTTGGTACAATTAATGTAAGATTACCAGTGAGAATAAAAGATTACCAGGGAATAGGATTACTGGAATGTTGTATTTTGTGTTTGATTGGTTTAGCAGGAATGTAAGATTACCGTGTTTGGTTAAAGGAATAAAAGATTATTGGAATGTATATTTGACCAAATTGTCCTTATTATATATTTGTATAATATTACAAATTGTAAAATATTTATATATTTTCTTTAAAAAATTAAATTCATAATATTTATATAATTTTTTTTACAAAATTAAAAATATAAAAAAGGTTTAATGAAAGGGTTTTTTAACCCCTGAACTTCATATAAAATTTTAATTATAGATTTTTTTTGTAAATCTAAAATAATTTAAGGATAAATTTGTAATTTAACCTTTGTAGATTTTTTATTATTCAATGACAGAAGAATAATATTTTTGAAAAAAAATAATAATTTAAGGGCATTTTAGTCCAAAACACCGGTAATGTTACAATACCTAAGGGAAGGGAGGTAATGACATTCCCGGTAATATATCCCAAAAAATATACTATTAATAATAAAACATTACCGGGAATGAAATTCCCAGCCAACCAAACATGAGAATGTGGGATTCCCATCCCATGGGAATCCCACAATCCTTGAACCAAACACCCCCTAAAAGTTTAAAATGGGGGAGATATGTTCTTGTTTCTATAGTACTCGATTTGGATTAGTCGATTAATAAATTGAATAACAATGGTTATACCAAAAGTAAGAGAAATGCATTCACCAAAATTTAAAAAACAATTTGTTGTAAACATGGATAGAACTAGGGACGTTGGAGCCGGTTGTACGTTTGAAAATTTTAAATTTTCATATATTTTATTTTTTTATCCTTAATTATAAACCATAAATTTATATTTTAAAGCATATTTTTTTATAGTAAATGTATGCATTTTTTTTGTTTAAAAGCATATTTTCTTTTTCCTAATAAATAAGAAAATGTATATTTCATGCAATTAGGTAAAGCTATTCTATGAACAAATTAAATTAAATATACATTTAATGTAACCAATGATTAAGAAATTGTACATGATTAAGAAAAGCATACTCAAATTGGAGGATTTTTAGTGCTTCAAGTTTCATATCAGTTGACAAAATGAAACCCAGAAGAGAAAAGGGAGAGGAAAATACAGAAAAGCCCCTCAAAATCTTTTGGTCATCAAATACATATAAATATTTCATTTATCATCAATAAAAAAATAAATTTTATAAATAAAATTAGTCCAATGACACCAATCATGTATTGAGGCATTAAATGTTGGGACCATCTCTTCTTGACAAATAAATTTAATTTAGTAGTATTTTCCTTAAAATTGTATTATTAATTTTTTTTAAAATTTAATTTTGTTTGAACAAATTGGGTTCCACTTGCTATTTTGGTATAGGCTGTTTATGACCATGTATTAATATGTAAACAATATTATTACACAACGGTTCATTATTTATTATGATTATTTGTGATTGTTACTTGCTTGTTTCGAGTAAGGTTAAGTCTGCCGTGTTCGATCAGCATGCATCACTAACGATGAATACTGTTGAGTATCATTAATTTAATTTATAAAAAGTTAAAATTTTAAAAGACTCGACGTATAATTATAAAATAGTCAAAATTTTGAAGTAAATTATTTTAAAATGAAATATTAATTACATTATTTTCCATAATCTTTTTTTAGTAATAAAAAAATTTATAATTTACCTTTAACAAATTATTTAAAAAATTGTTAAAAAATATGTAAAATAATTAAATTAATATTTTATTTTAAATATTGTACTTCTAAATATTTTATTAATTTATAATTATAGGTTGAGTCCTTTATAATTTTAAATTTTTATAAATTAAATTAATAGTACTCAAAGGTGCTCATCGTTAGTGGTGTTTGTCGAACGTTGTAGAATCTTCCTTTGAGTAAAACGACTTTTGTTAAAAAAATGTGTAGTGACCCTAATGCTAAAATTGAAAATTGAGATGATAAAAATGATTAATCAAAAAATCTGTAAGGGGATATTTGGTTCAAGGATCGTGGGAATCCCACATTCCCATGTTTGGTTGGCCGGAAATCTCATTTTCGGTAATGTTTTATTACCAATAGTAGATTTTTTGGGATAAATTACCGGGAATGTTATTGCCTCCCTTCCCTTAGGTATTGTAACATTACCGGCGTTTTGGACTAAAATGCCCTTAAATTATTATTTTTTTTCAAAAACATCATTCTTCTGTCATTAAATAATAAAAATTCTACGAAAGTTGAATTACAAATTTATCCTTAAATTATTTTAGATTTACAAAAAAAAAAATCTATAATTAAAATTTTATATGAAGTTCAGGGGTTAAAAAACCCTTTCATTAAACCTTTTTTATATTTTTAATTTTGTAAAAAAAATTATATAAATATTATGAATTTAATTTTTTAAAGAAAATATATAAATATTTTACAATTTGTAATATTATACAAATATATAATAAGGACAATTTGGTCAAATATACATTCCAATAATCTTTTATTCATTTAACCAAACACGATAATCTTACATTCCTGCTAAACCAACCAAACACAAAATATAATATTTCCAGTAATCCTATTCTCTGGTAATCTTTTATTCCCACTGATAATCTTACATTCCGTGAACCAAACGCAGAGATAATTTATGTTTACCTTTAGTGTTCCATTTTAACGCTTTCACTATGCTGACACTGTTCTAAATTTGACTCAATAAGTCAGATGATTATTCTGATTTATAAAATCAACATGATTTTTTTGAATAAAATGGCCAAAAGGGTACCTTGAAATTCCATAGCAAATTATATATATAGGAGTCTTAGGTCTTCAGGTTTGTTTTCACTAAATTTCAACTCTTTTTATTTTATTTATTCATTTATTTTCTCTCTTGTGGCTTTCATCAATCTGATAGAATCAAAGCTTAATTCTTTAATATGGTAAGGTTACATCACTTAATTGTTTTCTTAAAGTTTGTAATTAAAAAAAATGAAACTTTGGGTGAATTTGTCTGGTTTCAATGATCTTTCCTCTTTGGGAAACCAAGATAACCAAGATTCTCTTTTTCAACCCCAAGATAGTATTTTTTTTAATAGAAAAAGGGTTAATTCAGAGTCCCGGAGCAGTTCCTTGTAAGTTTTTTTTAATTGCAATTGGACCCACAAGATATTCAAATTTTACTTTCTTGGCCTGTTGCATGAGAGGGGCAAAAATGGCTTTGAGGCCATGGTAATGCCACGTACTCCATTTGGAATAAAGCTGGATGAAGATAATGAATACTCAAGGAGTGGCCTATGTTTTAAAATGGAAACATAAATAAAGTTAATAGAAAGCAGAAAATTTGTTTCTTTTTTTTTATTTCTTTATTGTTGATATCCGAATTCCCTTTGTCGTATTTTATTTATTTTCCTTTTCATGAAAAACTTGTGGGAATTTTGTGAGGTTGAGAATATTTAGTGTGAACTAAAAGACCCTTTTCCCTGTGTGGTTCATTTTACAGGTTAGTCTAGCAAGAACAGGAGAAGATCCTTTCATGGTGTTAACTGGTACTCCTCTATCTCTTTATCAATTTATACACTAAATATATGTATATAGATGACGGTTGTTTTTGCTTCTTGTTTGATGTGATATATAGTTGATCGTGAGCTTAATAGTGGGTATTTAGTCTTTTTAGCTATTGGTTGAGATTTTGTTTTTCTTCATTTTCTGATTGGCGGTGTTAATGGTGGTGGTTGTGGGTTGTGATAGCTTTGTATGATGAGAATTTTGGTGTGTAAAGGTTTTTGATTTCGGTTCCTTGTGTTTGCAGTGAAGTGACTGGAAAAACTGGGTTTCTTTTCCTGTTGTGACAATGAAATGAGTTTATGGTTTCGATATGATAATGGTAGAACTTAGCGATTGGATAAGAAGCCGGCGATTTTCTTCGTTTTTCGGTTGTTTGAGTGGTGGTCTTCATGCAATTCTTGGAGGATAACAATGGAGGGTTCGTCTGAGTCTGCTTGGAAGGAATCTGATAGTTCTAGGGCACTGAACACTTCTGGTGTCTCGGATAGGGATCCTAGTCTGTTTCGTGTTGAAAGAACAGGCGTTTCGGGAGATGTTTCCCGTGATTTCGGGTCCACGGAAGAGGATGGTAGGGTTTTGCTGACTCACAATGATCACCTTAAAAGCCAGATTGGTGTTTCCGGGGTTTGTGAGATGGCTGTAAACCCTTTCATCCGTTCCATTGAATGGGGTGATGTTAGCTTGCGGCAGTGGTTGGATAAACCGGAAAGATCTGTTGATGTTTACAAGTGTTTGCATATATTTAGGCAAATTGTTGAGATTGTAAATATAGCACATTCTCAAGGGATTGTTGTCCACAATGTTCGACCATCGTGCTTCGTCATGTCCTCATTTAATCACGTTTCCTTCATAGAATCTGCATCTTCTTCGGATTCGGGATCGGATTCTGTCGAGGATGCATTAAATAGCCCAAATATGGAGGTTCAGGGTTTACCCTCTACTTTGCCCATTGACATGCATCGACAACGTAGGCTGATGAATGAAGATGTGCAAACTCCAACAAATGCTTTATCTGAAGCTAGTTGCATGCAGTCGGGCTCAGAAATTCCAAGGAATGCACATTTAGAGGAGAGCGAAGAAAATAAAATCTTGGAATGTCGATATTCCGAGCAAGTAGAAGAGAAAAAGCAACCGTTTCCTATGAAACAGATATTGCTTATGGAGACCAGTTGGTACACTAGTCCTGAAGAGGTTGCCGGCTCTCCCGGTACCTGTGCTTCGGACATCTATAGGTTGGGAGTTCTCCTTTTTGAGGTTAGTTTCGAGAATGCTTGATACTATCGTCATTTTTTGAACTTTCGACATAGTTTGGTGGTGTTAGTTTATTGTTTTACATAATAGTTAATGCTAGTTGCTAGATAAAACTCGTCTAATTTTTTATTAATTATTGTTCTTTCATTGGGTTGAATGTTAAAACATTTTTTGTTGTATCACAGTATCACTTTAAACGAGTACGTTTTTCGTGTCTGCAGTTGTTTTGTCCCTTCAGCTCAAGGGAAGAGAAGAGTGGAACTATGTCTAGTTTAAGACATCGAGTTCTTCCTCCACAATTGCTACTGAAATGGCCGAAGGAAGCCTCGTTTTGTTTGTGGTTATTGCATCCCGAGCCAAGTAGTCGTCCAAAAATGGGGTAATCTCTCCTTGGTTCACATTATCCCTTACTACTTGAATAGTTGAATTTGTTTACTTTTCATTAACTTTATCTGTCATTTTCTTTATTAATACGATCGGACCACATAAATGGATTAATGTCTTAATTTGATTGAGAGTGGAAACAAGAATCGCCGTTTTTCGAATCTTATGGTACGTCTTTGTGGAATTAGGTTTGTGACTAAACTGTAATGCTTGGTGTGCATGTAAAGTGGTCTGATCATGATATTATATTGGTAATGGTTTGTATTAATGTATGAGTTTATGATGTAAAGGTTATGAGGCGAATCCCGACAGCCTCGAATTTGTTCAATATGGTTCCTTGTGGACTATAATTTCCCTAATCGTGAATAGTTTATGCCTTCAACGGCGTATTTTGCATGGGATTTTCTTGATGAATTTCGTTTCATATGGGATGAATGTGGTCAAATCCCTTGCATTAGGGACACAATGTTAGAAACACGTATCTTACGGGTTTAGCCGTGTAGCTGTACTTGTAAGCTGTGTTTTGATAGAATGTCACACATTTTCTATTAATTTTCTGATGGATAACTGTGCGTTTTGGTTTTCGTTTCCCCTCCGTGAAGTCGTGGTCGTGGTAAAAATAAATCTCATTCATACTACCTTCGATTACTTTTAATGTCACCATTGTTGTTTTGATGTATTGATATTGTTTCTGTGTAACAGTGAGTTGTTACAAAGTGAGTTTCTTAATGAACCAAGGGATGATCTGGAAGAACGTGAAGCGGCCATCGAGCTCCGGGAGAGAATAGAGGAGCAGGAGTTACTGCTGGAATTTCTTTTGATGGTACAACGAAGGAAACAGGAAGTCGCTGATAGGTTGCAGAATACTATTTCTTTCCTGTGTTCCGACATTGCAGAAGTTACAAAGAAGCAAACAATCTTAAAGGAAAAGGGCAGCTTATATGCTGAACCGGGGAAAGATGACAATTCTACGTCAAATCTCCCCTCGATAAATATTGTAGATACCGATGATTCTTCTAGCTTGGGGTCTAGAAAACGATTTAGACCGGGCCTTACGGTTCAAAATGTCGAAGAATGTGGTGATAATCTGGAAACTCGTCAAAAGTCTGATATACATTCTGAACATCAGGAAAGTTTTCTCCTGAAAAGTTCTCGGTTGATGAAGAATTTCAAGAAACTTGAGTCGGCATATTTTTCAACAAGGTGCAGACCCGTTAAGCAATCCGGGAAGTCTTTGAGTAGACAAACACCATTGAATAGTGACGGCCGTAGATCAATTGTTATGACCGAAAGGAGTTTTGTCAATAATTTAACGTCAAAAGAGAGCTACAGCGAGGGCTCGGAAAGCGGATGGATAAACCCATTCCTCGAGGGCTTGTGCAAGTATCTGTCCTACAGCAAGTTAAAAGTCAAGGCAAATTTGAAACAAGGAGATTTATTAAATTCTTCCAATCTGGTATGCTCTCTCGGGTTTGATCGTGATGCGGAATTTTTCGCTACCGCCGGTGTAAATAAGAAGATTAAAGTCTTTGAATGCGATGCTTTCGTAAATCAAAATCGCGACATCCACTATCCCGTGGTTGAAATGGCTAGTAGTTCTAAGCTGAGCAGTATATGTTGGAATAGTTATATCAAAAGTCAGATTGCATCAAGTAACTTCGAAGGAGTGGTGCAGGTGCGTAAGGCATTCTCTCAGCATTCTTTGTTCGGTTGTCATTTTTGCATATCTGACTCCGTATCTTGACCGTCTTCAGGTGTGGGATGTTACGAGAGGTCAAGTACTCACTGAAATGAAAGAGCACGAGAAACGCGTATGGTCCATCGACTTTTCATCAGCAGATCCAACGGTTTTGGCTAGCGGGAGTGACGACGGCTCTGTAAAGCTATGGAGTATCAATCAGGCAATTCTACTTTTGCATTTGATGGATGTCAGCTTTGAAAATAAACGTACTACGATAATCGAATTCCTTTGTGTATATTTTATTCTCGATGTATGATAAGTTTTTCTCTTACCTGGAATGTTACTGCAGGGAGCAAGTATTTGTACCATCAAAACGAAGGCCAATGTCTGCTGTGTCCAGTTTCCGGTTGATTCTGGTCGTTCTCTTGCATTCGGATCGGCAGACCATAAAATTTATTATTACGATCTTCGAAACTCTAGGATTCCTCTATGCACTCTAGTTGGACACAATAAAACTGTGAGTTACGTCAAGTTTGTCGATGCAAATACTCTCGTGTCTTCTTCCACGGATAACACTTTGAAGCTTTGGGATTTGTCAATATGCAATTCTCGGGTCATTGATACTCCCCTTCAGTCCTTTACTGGCCACATGAATGTAAAGGTATATTAACTTGTACTTTAATGCTTCTTACATTACAATGTAAAAATCTAACATTTATTCGGTTCGCTCGAGTTTGTTTTATCTTCGTGAACAATTTCTTGTCCCGACATAACTTGTCATGGAAAATTATTCCCCCTGGTTGATGTACATCATATTGTGGTTGCATATTTCCTTGTTGCAGAACTTCGTGGGATTGTCGGTATCTGATGGTTATATTGCTACTGGCTCTGAAACTAATGAGGTAACCCATACATTCTCGTGATATATGCTTGTGTAAACATGCATGAATAACTCGGTTTTACCGAACTTCTTACTGCTCCGGTGTTGATCATGTCTGTAGAATGTTATGTTTTCTTTTTCTTTTCTTTTCTTCGACGAGGCATTCGATTCGTTATGCCTTTCGAACATGATAAATTACAGATTCATGCTTTTAGCACTCACTAGGAACTCTATTGTATAGGTATTCATATACCACAAAGCTTTCCCGATGCCGGCGTTGTCGTATAAGTTCAACAACACGGATCAACTTTCTGGACACGAAACAGATGATGCCGCGCAGTTCATCTCTTCTGTTTGTTGGCGTGGCCAGTCCTCTACCCTAGTTGCTGCAAATTCCACTGGGAATATCAAAATTCTGGATATGGTTTAGTTTGGTCTTGTCTCTCGGAATCATTCTTAGTTGAAGCAAAAGGACGAACGGACAGACGGAAACTGTGCTCCATTCCGGCACAAAACATCGAATAAAGTCGGGTATCGGACATCGGAGAGTATCAAAGAGTATAGCATTTGAGCAAAATAACAAAAAAGAAAACATTTTTGGCTGTAGATGATAACAGATGCAATTAACATGAAGATTTGAGAACGACTTCATAAAATATATGCAGATAAGATCCAAAAGAACAAAGGACAGAGGACAAAATCAACCATCTTTGTATATTTTGTAATGCTTATAGTTCATAGTCATTTTTCGGGAAGTATATTGGATTTCCTAAACCTTCACTGTCTGCCATTTCTTGATGATGCTATTTATAAATATTTCGATCTTTGTGGCACTAAATCCGACCCGAACTTAATAATTTGAACTCGAACTCGGACTAATCTATCAAAAACTAAGATTTGATTAATTTATAATCAAAGATTATGTCAAATGAGCAGTGCTGCTATTAAAATTCTTTCTATTAGATACGAATGTTTCAGCTGTTGTATGCCGCATCAATTGTGCTTCTCCTTTTTTAAATGTTTACACCGGTCTTGACCATTAGCTTTCATAACTAACCCAGTTACAAGATGGTTACGCCACTGAGCTCCCGGACCTGGCCTGATCTTGTTCGAGTCTCCAACTTCCGTGCATGTCAGCTTGCCGGAACACCAAGCACTGGGAGTGAAGGACCCTTTTTCAGAAGTTTATCCCCCAAGATAAAATCTTGTGTTCGTCTCTGCTCTACCGTAAAAGGATAACTAACAACCAAGCTCCTTGAGAAATGGCCGTCAACATGTACTTCCAATGCTAGAGTTTCATCAACCATAACCACTGACAATACATACGCATCTTATAGACGTAGCTGCTCGAGTGTAAGATACTCGAGTGTTCGAAGCTGATCACACTTGGATGAAAATACAGACTCTAACTCGTCACAACGAACGAGTTCACATACCTTCAAATCAATCCCATCCCTCAGTCCCACATTGTTTAAACTTGTCACACCTCTGCAATAATTAAGATGTAATTGTTGAAGTTGATATGGAGGTACAATTGCAACTCCCGAATTAATATCAATGCTCTCAAATCTAACCGAATTTCGAGAAGAAGATGACAGAGAATGTTGAACAAAGGATCTAGGCTTGTTCAGTGGGCATACTAAAATCGAGTATTTGTAGAGTTCTTTTCTCTGACCTGCATACATGTTCAAGTAGCCAATGTTGGAGAAGACGCCTTCGAAAGCCTCCAGCTTATTCAATTCACTCATCTCTTCAGCATTTTTTAATATCGAATGAATCGCCAAATGTTGAAGCCGGCATAGTTTCAACAATAATCCGGTAGCGATCTCTTTTAAACGTCTCGTGTACCCGAGATCGAGATGTCTAAGATTCACCAACATTCCCAGACCTTGAGGGATTTCCCGGCCTCCGCTGGATCGAGGATCCAATTTCCTCAAAGCTTGAAGCTTCACTACACAAGGCAAACTCTCTAATTCACGAGTCACGACATCCGTTGAGCAACAATGCAGTGAGTTTCTCCAAACCAGAAACGGAGTTGGGTAAACTTTTAATAGGATTGTGAGAAAGATCAAGAATCTTGAGGTTCGGAAAATGCTCAAAGAAACATTCTGGGATTTCTTTCAATGAATTATGTGAGAGTAACAATGTTTTTCTTGTGATATGCAACGCCGTGTCTCTAACAAGATCATGCATTTTCACATGCATACCATCCTCAGCCCTTTCCAGCAAACAATTTTATTCGAGCTTTCGCAAAATGGAATGACCGCTACGCCCCATTGCTTTTCTACTTCCCATTTCATCTGTAAGCCCTTCTTCCATCCAATACTCGATTATCTCATGCTTTTTGATTTCATGATCTTCCGGATATAATGCACAATACAAAAAGCAATTTTGGTCCTTTTCTGTTAGATGATCATAGCTGAATTTTAAACATCTATACACCTTATCTTCCATATCATGGATGTTTCTGATGTCGCCTTGTAATTCATCTATGGCATTTTCCCACAAACGAGGACCGGATGGTTCTGATAATGAGTATTTTTCATTTTTCGAAGATCGAGTCACAAGCATCGGTCGTTTCAGAGATATTGTTCGAAGATACTTCCATTACGAGTGCAAAACCATCAGTGACAACTCACATACGAACCAAACCTGTGAAGATTTAGGTGTATACATATCTGAAAACTTTCAGGATACTTATTATGATGAATTCAAAAACACAAGAAACCAAAGCAGTACTAAAGAGTGCATACTTGAATTGGCCTTCAAAGTTCTGGTTATGATCTTTCACAAATTCACATATTTCTTAGCAATTACAGTAAGAACACCTAAAGACGAATGTGGCTTAGCCTCGCAAGTTTCAGCCTAACTCTCAACCGACATTTTTTACCTCCAAAGAAGGGCTAATTATGCAGACAATAGGAAAAAAGTTTCAAAAACTACACGAGATCATTCCTGAACTATGAGAAGCACACTTCCTATTAGAACTTTGGCCTGCAATCTAATTTGTGATGATACGATGAACTATCCTTGAGAATTTTCACTCAAACTTTTTTCAAATTTTAGGCCATCTTCTCTTGCCAAGCAACTGGGTACTTCACTATGATTTTGGTTCTGTTTGTTGGAAATAAAAACACTCACACAAACAACTTTTATTGAAACTCAAACAAATATTACAAGAGTACTATCACTCAAAAACAAGAACTACAACTCACTCTTATAAGACTTTGCTTCTTCACTCACTTAGAAGCTCTTAATTTTTCTTGATGCTTAAAACTAAAATGGGAAGGGGTATTTATACTACTCAAGAACAATCCTACACCACACAAATAAACTAATTTAAACCATTACAAATTCAACAAATATTTAACTCTCACCTAACTAAATTGATGTAAGCAATGACATCATTAATTAAATGATGTAAGCAATGACATCTTTAATTAAATGATGTAAGTAATGACATCAATTTAGTTTGGGTTTTGGGTTTAGGCTCCCATAATGGATCAAGTTTATGATCCAACACCCTCCCTTAAACTTGATCTCGTGACCCCTAGTAGGTTCCTTAATCTTAAGAAGTCTTCGCTGGTCAGTGGCTTGGTAAAAATATCAGCAACTTGATCTTGTGACTTCACATATTCAACTTCCACATCTTTTCTTGCAACACACTCCCTTATATAGTGGTAGCGAATATCAATGTGCTTGCTTCGATCATGGAATACTGGATTCTTCGCTAAGGCAATGGCTGACTTGTTGTCGACACAAACCTTGGTAGGCTCTTCTTGTATCAAACCAATCTCCTTCAATAGATTTCTAAGCCAAATTGCATGAAAAACACATGAGGTAGCAGCAACATATTCCGCTTCACAAGTGGACAATGTGACAATCGGTTGTTTCTTTGACATCCATGTGAATGCAATATCTCCCATGAAAAATACGAATCCAGTAGTGCTCCTTCGATTATCTATGTCTCCACCCCAATCACTGTCGCTATATCCAACAAGCTTGTAATCATTAGAAACTAAATAGAACAAGCCAAAGTCAATTGTACCTTTCAGATAGCGAAGAATTCTCTTTGCGGCTTTAAAATGGGTGGTTGTTGGGGATTCCATGTAGCGACTAACCAATCCAACTGCGTGAAGAATATCGGGTCTCGTGCAAGTTAGATAGCGTAGACTTCCTACCAAACTTTTGAAGAATGTTGGATCTACACTTTCGCCTTCTTCATGTTTGGTCATCTTGATCCCGTATTCTGTCGGTGTGCTTATTGGCTTACAGTTCTCCATCTTGAACTTCTTCAGTATCTCCTTTGCATAGCTTTCCTGTGAAATGAAAATTCCATCATTTTGTTGCTTAACTTCAATGCCAAGGTAGTACGCCATGAGCCCCATGTATGTCATCTCGAATTCTTTCATCATCACATCCTTGAATTCATTAAACATGCTTGGGTTGCTTCCAGTGAAGATCAAATCGTCCACGTAGAGGCACACGATCAAAATATCTTCATCTTTGATCTTGATATATAGAGCATGCTCGTAGGGACATTTGTTGAAACCATTCTCTTGGAAGTACTTGTCGATTCGGCTATTCCATGCCCTTGGTGCTTGTTTTAGCCCGTAAAGAGCCTTCTTCAACTTCAACACCTTGTCTTCATGCCCTTTGACTTCATAGCCTGATGGTTGCTGAATGTAAAGTTCCTCTTCAAGAACTCCATTTAGGAAGACGGACTTTACATCCATCTGTTGTATCTTCCACTTGTTTTGAGCTGCCAAGAAATGATTAGTCTGATAGTCTCCAATCGAGCAACAGGAGCAAATACCTCATCATAGTCAATTCCAGCCTTTTGACTATAGCCTTTAGCAACTAGCCTCGCCTTGTGCCTTTCAATCTCTCCTTTGGCATTTTGCTTTGTTTTGTACACCCATTTGACACCTATCGCCTTATGTCCCTTGGGAAGTGAGGTAAGTTCCCATGTGTCATTCTTCTCGATGGCCTTGATTTCTTCGTCCATCGCATCTCTCCATTTCTTTTCTTGTACCGCTTCTTGAAAGCTCACTGGTTCACAATCGGCAAACAAACAAAATAATGTAAGATTATCTTGTCGTTCAGTTACCTCATAGAGATCTCTAAGGCTTCTTGTGCGTTGCACAACTCTTTCACTTTGACTCCCACTTGACGATGATGAAGGTGATGAGTCTCCTTGAGTGGTTGATGTTGGTGAAGTGGGTGGAGTTGCAAGCTCTTGTTGAGATTCATCTAGTTGCTCCCTCATTGTCTGCTCATCTTCTTCAAACTGAGGAAAGAAATTGAAGTCATCTGTATGAGAGTTAAAATCCCATTCTCCTTCTTCGTTGAAGACCACATCTCGACTAATCACAACTTCTTATTGTCTGGATTGTACAACTTGTAGCCCTTCGAATTAGCATCATGGCCGATGAAGATAAAACTCTCGCTTTTATCATCAAGCTTCGTTCTTCTCTCGTCTGGTACGTGAACATGGGCTATACTTCCAAAGGTTCTCAAGTGGGAAATGCCAGGCTTTCTTCCACTCCATGCCTCTTGCGGTGTCTTTCCCCATACACTTCTTGTTGGAGATCGATTTGACAAGTAGACTGCACACGATACTGCTTCCGCCCAAAATTCTTTGGGTAGTTTCTTGCTTTTGAGCATGCTTCGTGCCATGTCGAGGATTGTTCTATTCTTTCTTTCTGCCACACCATTTTGCTGGGGGGATCTAGGAACTGTCATTGGTCGACGAATTCCATTTGCTTCACAGAACTCTTGAAACTCCCTGGAAGTAAATTCTCCACCTCGATCGGATCTCATGGCTTTGATCTTTCTACCGCTTTCTCTCTCCACTGCTGCTTTGAACTTCTTGAAGACTTCAAAACTTCTGACTTCTGTTTCAAGAAATATACCCAGGTTTTTCTTGAAAAATCATCAATGAAGAGAAGAAAATAGTTATTGTTACCGAGAGAGCTTGGCTTGATCGGTCCACACACATCGGTATAGATGAGCTCAAGTGGCTTCTTAGCTCTTGTCTCTGACTCCTTTGGAAAGCTTTTCCTGAATTGTTTCCCGACTAGACACCCTTCACAGAGCTGGTCAGGATGGTTGATGTGAGGTAGTCCTTTCACCATCTCCTTCTTAGATAATAGCTCTAGACCTCCAAAATTGAGATGCCCAAATCGAAGATGCCAAAGCCATGATGCATCTTTGTAGCAAGCTTTCAGGCACTTTGCAACATCATTTTGTATGTTGATCAAGAACATTCTATTCTTTGACATCGGCACTTTAGCAATGAAGTTATTCTTATCATCTTTTATAGAAAGATTATAATTATTTATATGAATATCATAACCTTTCTCTACCAGTTGCCCTAAACTTAAAATGTTACTTTTCATATTGGGCACATATTAGACATTTGAAATAAATTGATGTCTCCCATCTTTCAAACGGATAAGAATATTACCTCTCCCTTTCACTGCTATTGTGGAATCATCTCCAAACGAAACATTTCCACTTACTGACTCGTCTAGCTCCACAAACATGTCTTTCCTTCCACACATGTGATTGCTTGCACCACTGTCAAGATACCAGGAATTTGCTTGGCCACCATCAGTTTCCTTTCGTGCTAGAAGAAGAGTTTCTTTGCCATCTGTCTTTTCCTCCACGTAATTGGCCTTCTCCTCAATTTTGTTGTTGGGAGCTCTACATTCTGAAGCATAATGCCCAAATTTTGACAATTATAACATCGAATTTGAGATTTGTCATACTTTGAGTTTGGATTAATTCTTCCACGGCCTCGTGTTGAGCTTTCTCCTTTCTCATAGTTGTTGTTGGAATTGTTATTGTTGTAATTCCAGCCTCGTCCACGACCTCGACTTCCACCTCGTCCATGGCCTCTACCTCTGCCTTGGCCACGTTGGTTTCTATCATTGCGTTGGCTCTCATGCATATCCTTGAGTTGCAGCTTGAGGAGTTGCTCAGTAAACTCATGCTTCTTTTTATGCTTCTCTTCGTATGCTTGCAATGATCCTTGGAGCTGTTCGATCTTCATTTCTTCCAAGTCTTTAGTTTCTTCAATCGTCACGACGATGTGCTCAAATTTGGGATCCAACGAACGGAGTATCTTCTCTATTATCCTCACATCGTCTAACTTTTCACCATTTCTTTTTAATTGATTAGAAACAGCTACTACTCTTGAGAAATAATCTGAAATAGACTCAGATGCTTTCATGTTTAAGGATTCGAATTCACCTCTTAATGTTTGGAGACGAACCTTCTTCACTTGCTCGGATCCTTTGTAAGAGGTTTGCAGCTTCTCCCACGCTTCCTTGCTAGAGCTTGCACTTGAAATCTTTTCAAAACCATCATCATCTAATGCTTGATAGATGAGGTAGAGAGCCTTCTTGTCTCTCTTTCTTGAATCCTTCAAAGTTGTCTTTTGATCTGGTGTAAGAGTAGCAAAAACATCATCATCCGCAGGCTCATTATAGCCTTTCTCTATGATATCCCACACATCTTGTGATCCAAGAAGTGCCTTCATTTTGATACTCCAATTGTCGTAGTTG